ACACTGGACCGGGTGGCCACGCTGGAGAGGAGCTTGCGGGCCACCGAGGGCGAGCTCCACGCCAGCCAGGTGGGCAGGTGCTGAGCGCCAGTGGGGTGGGGTTCAGGAGCACCCTGCTGTCCGGCGGCAGGAGTCTCTGCAGCCCCTGGGTGACGGTGTGCTCCTGTTTGTGCAAGACCGTGCTCAGGGGCTGCCGTTTGGCTCAGGAGAGGGTGGGCGGTGTGCAGAGCCACCGTCTGAGTCTTGTCCTCATCTGTCCGGCGGGGACCAGGCGCACACTCCAGGGACACAGCTAGTGCCTGGGGCCTCTGTGTTGTGTCTCCGTAGCCCTGTGAGCGGGGTTCTGGGGTTCTGTGTGCGTCCAGGGGACAGCCATGTATACCCGTGTGGGTGCGGTTACAGTCCGGGCTGCGGACACCCCCGCCCCTCAGCCTTCCCCGCGCCTTGCTGCCTTCAGCCCACCCTGCCCTGGCCAGGGCCTGAGTTGGAGCGGGATTGTTGTGTCTGTGGCTTCAGCTCTGGCCTTGGGCCCAGCTGCAGGGGCCTGGGAGGAGGCCAGGAACAAAGACGGCGGGCCGGAGCCAGCCTGGGGCCCCTGGGCCAGACGGGCAGGGCTGGGGCGGGGCGGGAGAGGGCCCGGCTCGGGGTGGGGGGAGCAGAGGGGCGGCGGCAGTGGTGACGTGGATCGAAGGGTCCCAGGTCTGTCCTGCCTGTCCCCACTCCCAAGCTCCTGCCCGACCCCCTGCCCGGAGGGAGGGGAGCGGGAAGGCGAGGCCTGTGCAGTGCGGTGGCCTCCGCTGTGCTCACACATGCAGTTTCCGGGGCCGTGGGCAGTGCTTCTGCAGAGCTGTGCAGGGCCCCGAAACCTGCATTTCCAGCCTCCCCCACGACTCTGCGGTACCCCAGGACCACCCAGGCCCCCAGTGAGTGTGGGGAAGGTCCCCGTCGGACCCAGAGGGTCCAGGCCGCCCCCCACTCCGGCGAGGGGAGTTGAGGGACCCGTGGGGGGCTTGCAGCCCCCGGGCCCTGAGCCTCAGCCCCCGCAGGAGAAGATCCGTGAGATGAAGGCCAACGAGGCGAAGCTGCACAGCGAGAAGCGGCGCCTGAAGGAAGTGCTGGACGCCTCTGAGAGCCGCACCGTCAAGCTGGAGCTGCAGCGACGGGCGCTCGAGGGAGAGCTGCAGCGGAGTCGCCTGGGTTCCAGGGACCGTGAGACCCACGCCCAGGCCCTGCAGGATCGGGTGGACTCCTTGCAGAGACAGGTGGGCCCCTGCCCTCACAGCTGTGCCGACTGCATGCCTGCCCTGTTCCGGTATTTTACAAGGACGAAGCAGTCCCTCACCAACCTTGTGAGGCAAGCACTAACATCAGTCCAATATACCCATGGACAAATGGAAGCTCAGAGGTGATGTCTGCTCATCATATAGCTAATAAGAGCCCAAATTAGAATTCAGGGCTATTCAATGACAGTTTGCACTGACAGGAGATGTGGGACACCACAGAGATGTGGATTTCACTCTTTTCTCTTTTTGCTGTGGCTGCCAGGAAGCTCATCTCTAACTGGAACATTCAATAATTAGCCCCGTTTGGATACTCAAGTCCAAAACAAAATTTCAGGGTTGTAGTGTTTTATTTTCTCCTTCATAGCAAGGGGGAAAAGGGAATAAGGATAAGGAAGGAACTACATGCTTTGGGTCAACCATGTTGATTGGGCTCCGGACAAGGGTGGTTAACCAGCAGCATGGTTTACCAGCTGACAGGCTGAGCCAGGGCAAGTGTATGAGAACAGTGGGTCTCGGTGAGGCCTGGAGAGATGGGAAGAGGCTGGGTTGGGCCTGCCTGGTGGGACCAGAGCCCTTTGATTGTCCTGTCTGTCCCCTGCTAGGTGGCTGACAGTGAGGTGAAGGCCGGGACCTTGAGGCTGACAGCGGAGCGACTGAATAGAGCCCTGGCCAAGGTGGAGGAGAGCGAAGGGGTCCTGAGGGACAAAGTACAGAGCCTGACACAGGCCCTGGCCCAGAGCAACACCAGCCTCACTAGCACCCAGGACAAGAACCTGCAGTTGCAGAAGACGCTAACGGCCTGTGAACATGACCGCCAGGTGCTCCAGGTACAGGGCTTCCTGGTGGGGCTGGGGGAGGGCCTAGCACGAGAGTCAGCCAGTAAGAGTAGAGTTGGAGATGGAGCCAGCCAATAGGCTGTCTGTTGGGAATTCGAAAGAGCCAGTCAACGAGAACAAGACCTGGAGTGGCAGCCAATCAGAGGAGATGGCTGTGGGGGGCGGCACACCCAATATGGAAGGAGCCTACTCGTGGTTAGGGGGACCCAGGTGCAGTCAATGAGTGTGTGGGGGTGAGTGTCTCCCAGTGTACAGTGCGTGTACAAGCTGTGGGCCGGGGGAAGTGACTGCCTGTTTTATGGGCCAGGAACCTGTCTGGGTGTAGGAGTAGTGGGGAGCTTTTGCCTTAGGGCTTGCAGGCCGGCCTGCACCATCAGCCCCTGTCCCCAGGAACGGCTGGATGCTGCCCGGCAGGCGCTGTCAGAAGCCCGGAAGCAGAGCAGCTCCCTGGGTGAGCAGGTGCAGACGGTGCGGGCTGAGCTGGCCAACCTGGAGCTGCAGCGCACCGAGTCGGAGGGTCGGCTACAGCAGCTGCAGGAGGTGAGGGCGGCCTCGGCCTCTGACCCCAGGACTGAGGCCACACCTCCTACCCTGCGCGTCTGATCCCAGACGCTGGGCCTCCCTCCTGTGAGGAGCACGGTTCCCTCAGCCGCACCCGTGTACAGACGGAGAAACTGAGGCCCGAGGAGCCCTGGCCTCTGGTGACCGTTCTGTCTCTCGGGGCCTCACAGACGTGAGCGGGCACTGGGGGCCCCAGAGGATGCAGGGCCCGCCTGGCCTTTGCTGCAGGTGCTACGGCAGCGGCAAGAGAGTGAGGCCTCGGCGCTGCACACGGTGCAGAAGCTGCAGGAAGAGCGGCGGCTGCTTCAGGAACACCTGGGCAGCCTGCAGCGAGCCCTGGCCCAGCTGGAAGCCGAGAAGCGGGAGGTGGAGCGCTCCGCCCTGCGGCTGGAGAAGGACGGCACGGCCCTCAGGAGGACGCTGGACAAGGTGGGCTACTCCGCCTGGCCTCCCTCTTCCCTGGGGACCCGGCTTGGTGGGCCGCACCTGCCTGTCCGCACGGTCCGGTTCGGGATCCGAACCTGCCTCCTTAGCCCCTTCAGCCCGAGCTCCCCACCCAGGTGGAGCGGGAGAAGCTGCGCAGCCAGGACTCGGTGCGGCTGGACCGCTCGCTCTCCGGGGCTGAGCAGGAGCTGGCCAAGGCCCAGAGGCAGATCCGGCGGCTGGAGAGGAGCGCAGGGACGCTGAGGGCCTGTGGCCGCGCGTTCGTGGGTTGTGGATGTGTCCAGGTATGGACGGCGTGAATCTAATGCACGCGCGTGGCATGTGGCTTCTGTGTGGCTGTTTTCACAAAAGCTCGTGTGTGTGTCTTGAGCTTTTGCACACGTGCATGCATCTCTGCGAATGTGGATACTCACACGCTTGCTTTTGTCCCTGCCTGTGTGACCCTGTCCCTCTGTGTGCCTGCGTGGGGTCACAGGGGACCCCGAGCCAGGAGTGCAGGCTCAGGGTCAGTCCCTGACCCCTTTGTCCGCCACACCTGCAGCGCTTGCCACCTGACACCTCATCGCAGGGCTGTCTGTGCACACCGGCCACAGCCCTGAGCGGTGGCTCCTCCCCACAGGCCCAGGTGGTAGCCCTAGAGCAGAACCACAGCCCAGCCTGGCTGGAGGGGGATAAGCAGCAGCAGCCGGAGCTGCAGGAGGCGGGCAGGCTGTGTGACTGAGCTGCCCACCGCCAGTGGGTATGGGGCTGGAGGAGCAGGTAGGTGGCCTCCTGCAGGGGAGACAGGGGCAGGGCGGGAGTGCACGCTGCAGGAGACGTGGCCTCAGGAGCGTGAGGACCCGGAGGCCATGCGGCGCCGCTGGGCCTCAGTCCCTCCCTGCCACAGTGCTGCTGTCTGGCTCCCGGCCTAGGCAGGCCCTGGGCCTCAGTGGTACAGAGAGCATCAGCAGCCCCAGTTGCCAGTTCTCCCCTAACCTGGGGTCCCAGAGGAGAGAGGGTGCATCCTCCAGGGAGCACCAGCAGAAGCCCTAGGGCTGATCCTCCGGACCAGCTTGGGACCTGCCCCTTTCCTAAGCAGGCCTCACCTGCTCTGAGTGGTCGAGCCTGGTCACAGCCCCCTACGCAGCCAGGTTCCCTCAAATGATGAGGGCATAAAGGATGTGGGGGTCACTGGGGGCCCTGCCAGAAGCCAGAGCCGAAAGATGCCCGACTACAAAGAGGAGGGTGTCGTGGCTCTGCTGATAGCAGACGTTCCCCCGCCATCCCTGAGGCTCCCTGCTTTCTCTGAAATTACTTTGGGGACCCTGGCTCCTTTACCTTCTCTTTCCCCCAGGAGTCCACACTGAAGGGGCAGCTGCAGCTTCGAAGGAGCTCAGTGTCCTCTCCACCCTCTGGCCCCCCGAGAAATGAGCTGCCCACGGCCTGGTCTGTTGCATGTGGCAGCGCTGAGGGTGGACACCAGCTCTGGACCACACCCAGCTGTAGCTTCCCAGTGTCCCCCGGTGACCCCCTCACCCCAGCCCCCTCTCCCGGGATGAACCACTCCGGTTTGTACGAGGGCCTCCCCTGAGTGGGAGCCAGAGCCCGGCATCGGGGAGCCCTCCTCTCCGGCCAGCGTGGAGCAGGGGCTCATGGAAGAGGAGGGCAGCCCGGCCCTGACTCTGGGCTCCCAGCGATCTCTCTCCACTTCATGCGGAGCATTTGTCAGGAAACTCCTTAGAGAGCTCAGAGTCTTTGTATTTTTGTACCTTTTTATAATGTTAACTGGCGAGAACCTATGTTTTTTTGTAATAAGACCATTTTAAAAAAATGGCTTGTACAGAGGGTGCCCTTCTCTGCCCAGAAGGAGACGGGAGGGATGCAGGTGGGGCTGGGGGCCTCTGGGAAGGGCAGCTGGGTGCAGCAGGGGCAGAGGCCCGTGCTGGTTAGGGCCTTACCAACCTCACGGGGTGGCGGGGGTCCCGAGCCGCCTATGCCATCTTACAGTTGGGGGCCGTGACCCGGCCGCTCTTTCCAGCCGACCCTTCCTGCCCCTTCTGCCTGAGTCTCCTGGGGAAGGGCCCGTGAGCAGCTTGGGGGCTCCCAGGCAGCATGGGAGTGAGGGGTCTTGCCTGGCTCCCGAAGTGGGGCCGGGTGAAGCTGTTTCCTCCCAGAGCTCCGTGTGCCCTGGTGCACGATGGGAACCTGCCCAGGGAGGGGTGAGTGGGAGGCTCAGCGCATGCATCTCCAGGGGACACGGGTTTTTGTCCTCAGAGTCCCATACCAATCCTCTGGCCTTTTTTTTTTTGGTACTCGGGACCTTGTGCTCGTGAGGCAGACCGCAGCACCACTGAGCTAAATCCCAGGCCCTGTCCCACACCAGTCCTGCCTGGGCACGACCACAAAGAGGGCCCTTGGGTGATTCGCTGAATGCTGTTGGGCGGTTTCCGGTCTGTCATTTGGGGATAGTAATTGCACCCACCCCAGAGCCCCAAGGGCAGGGGCAAGGCTGAGTGTCACGTGTCGGGGAGGGGTGCAGTAGCCTGGCCTGTTTCTACCCCTTGGTGACAGCCAAGGATAAGCAGCCCTAGGTCTCGGCTCTGCCGACCTTACCTGCCCCTACAGCATCCGTCCTGCAACACGTACACCTGTTGGGGAGCTTGGGCCCTCACCACGGTCCTGACCTTGAGAAAGCTGTGTCCCGGAGCCTTCCGTTTCCCACATACACTTGTGCACTTGCGACCTGGGGCAGGGGCGACCTCAAGGCACCTCTGTGCTCCAGATCAAAAAAGGGACTCTGGATCCTTTGTAAAAAGTTGTTTTTTAATTTTGTATAAAACAAAGGTGGTCCATGCCCAGGGAGCTGTAGGAAATCCAGGCACACCAGCTGGAGTGGGGCATAGCCTACCTCGGGGGACTGTACCTAGGGGATGACAAGACACATCGGGGACCCAGGTCCCGCAGAGGCCTTGGAGCTCCCCCACTTGGGACAGAGCCTGGGCAGCAGGAGCCCCTGTTGCGCCCTGGGGATGCCCACTGGCTGGGGCTTGGCACCAGAGCCAGCAACCCCCAGAGCTGCAGTCTGCCAGCTTTACAGAATGAGGCGGGTAGGACGGGGAGAAAGCACCAGTCAGGCAGGGCCCGAGGCAGCGTGCACGGGCCCAGGGCTCAGGATGTCAGCTGCACCCTAGCAGCCCCCGCAGCTCCTGGCACAGGAGGCCCCCATAGATTGGCAAAGCCCACTGCTGGCCATCACGCCACACCTGGAGAACTTGTCCCGACACAGGTCAGCTGTGGGGGCAGGAGGAGCAGGGTCAGGGGTGAGTCTGCTGAAGAAGGGCCAGGGAGGGAGCCCCGGATGCCCTGCCCTGGGCCCGGGCAGAGGGCCAGAGGGGCCGAGGACGCCTTCCTACCTCGGAGGAGCTCCTCGTGGGCACAGACTGTGCGGACACAGATCTCCTTGTTCACCACATACACACGCCGGAGGCTGGGGCAGGGGAGGCGGGAAGTCTGAGGACTGCCCGCTGGGAAAGCCGGCCCCAGCCTGGCGCGCAGTCTCCTCCTGGAGTGGAGCTCTGCCCCGGGATTCGGGCCCCAGGCTCCCACCCGCCTGCCCCGGCTCACCTGTAGAAGCAGGCCTCACTGACACACTGTTTGCAGGGCTTGTGGATGGAATAGAGGCGAGTGCACGGGTACTGTTCCTCTCGGCAGTCTAGGGGCCGGGGGCGCGGGTGGGGGCCCAGATACGTGGTTCAGAGCCAGAGAGGCAGCCTCCAAGCTCACCCAATGAGATTGGCGCAGGTCTGGGTACCCTGCACCCTCCGCCCAGCCCAGCTACCACACACGCCAGGCACAGCTGGATCTTGCGGTGCCCCCAGATCCACACCGCCCACGCCAATCCACAACCACGCTTAGAAGCATATGTTCAAATACACGGAAGTTCACACACAAATTCATGCCCCGTGTGGCCACTGAAGTGCACAGCTTTACCAGCAGATACACCTGTGCTCGTGGGGACCCACACCGTGACGTGCTCAGCTAAGAGGAAGGTGAGCTCACGGAGCCTCACACCGTTTGCTCCGGCCCCTGGCTGGGCACTGCTCACCCAGCCTGGGCTCCCTGGCCCTTCACCTGGTCGTGGGCATCACCCAGTCTTCTGGCTGGCAGGAAGCCCCCCGCACACCCCCTGCCCCTGCCTAGGAGTGACCAGCCCGGCGTCTCACCAGGCCCACAGGGGGCAGGGTCGGATGTCCAAGAGCTGCCGGCTGAAGGTAGCTGCCTGTTCTCCCTGCCCCTAAATTCCCACCAGCAGCCCACCCGCATGCTGCCCTCCCATGGCAGTGGCCACGAAGCTCTTACCCAGAGGCCCAGGCTCTGTGGGCTCGGTCTCTGTGTGTCCTGTCTCTGGAGTAAGAGAGGCAGGCAGGAAGTTTTGGGAGGGGTCTTTGGGGAGGGACCATCACTTCTCAGCCCTGGGCTGACAGGAACCCGGGGCGAGGGCTCGGTCTACCTGGGGTGGGTGCTGGGATGACTTCCTGCTGGACCTGCTGCTGGGACTGGAACTGCTCCTCCGGGGACCGAGAGCTCACCTCTGCAGCAGGGCGGGTAAGGGTGCATGGTCCCTCCTTCCCTCCTGGGTCCCCAAGGGCTGCTCCTCCTTTCCTGCCCCAAGCCCTTTACCTTGGTAATCGTAGTAGTCTGGGGTGTCTGAAAGGTAAACCGGAAGTGACGTGGTCAGGCCACGCCAAACCTAGGGTGGTCGTCACCCGCCTCACCATCCCCTGGCTCCGCCGTGCAACCCAGAACCAGGCCTTGACGGGGCAGATTGGCAGGGCGTGGGCCTTACCTATCTGGTCTCCGTAGTGGGTGTACTGGACGTGGTCTGGGAACGGAGGCAGTGAATCCAAGTCATACTGGCCCTGAGCCAGCAGGCCTGCTTGAGGGAGGCAAAGCATGTGGGGGCTGGACGGGGAAGGACAGCGCTTCTGGGGAGGGGAGGTGGAGGTCACAGCAGGCTCTGAACACGGCTCCTAGGACCAGGCTTCCCCAGGATCCGGAGGACTATCTGTGCCCTGGTCCCAGTCCCTCACTGACCTTACCCACCGCACTCCCCTGCTGGCCTCCTGCCGGCCCCAGGGTCTTCTCTAAGTTTCTCCTGGAATTTCAGCTCTGCCCAGAGGCTGCCCTGGCTCACGCTCTTTCTTTCCATCACCGCACTCGACATAATCTGATTTTTTTTTTTTTTTTTTT